GTCGTATTTCTTGATGGTTTCCCTAACGGTCACCGAATAGAAAGGACCTTGTGATCAACCCACATGTCGAGGAATTCCTCAGGTTTGTTTTAGTATCGAATCAGCAAACCAAATTCACAGCAACCCAGAGGAATGGCTTGGTCGCTGCCTTTGGTACGTTTTTGCTTCGTTTTCACGAAAAACCGGGGAAGGGAGCCATGAACACTTGTCGTTTTCGGCAGGCAACAATTTTTAATCCCAATACGCGAACATTTTTTCAATATGGGATTGTCTCGAAAAAACGGGGAACCCTCCGCCCCCCCCCCCCCCCAAAAAAAAAGAAAGAAAAGAAAAGACAAGACAAACAAACAAAATAAGGCTGCTTTGCCTCTGGTTTCCTTAAAACAAGAAAGAATGGCCAAGCTTTGGAGGGTACCAACTAAAAAAAAGCACGTCATTGCCGCGTAGAGACTCGTCGGCTCGCTCGCCGGCGGAACTTTCGCGCGAGGTGACGTTGGCCAAGTCGGCGGAGCAGACGGCGGCTGGCTCCCTGGAGCAGAGCCGCGTCACCGAGTGGATCTCCCTGAAAAGGACCCGACCCGGTGACCCGGTGACCCGGTGGGGGGGGGGGGGTGGTTGTGGTGGTTGTTGTTTTTTGTTTGAGGGAGGGTCCATTTCGGACGGGGGGGCATTGCCTTTGGCGTGCGTTCCCCAAAGTTCGATTGGAGACCTCCTGGGGCAATGGGAAGCACCAGCCAAAGAAGGGCCCGAAGAACCCGATTTTTCCGGGTGGAACAGAAAAAAGAGCCAGCGGATTTGTTTTCCTGAATCCAATAATTTCTAGAAGGGTACTTGTTAAACATGGACTCAAGCCAATGGTAGCGAGCCGGCGGTTTTTGCTCACTTTTCCGGTCAATTTTTTGGATGGGGCCAATGGGACGCTGGTTCCAGGATGAGCTGCCTGGTGGATGTTCTGGGCTGCTTGGCAAGCATGCGGAACTTGCTCAATGAGCATGTTGACAAGCAGAAGGAAAATTGCTAGGGGGTGCGACGGATCTACGGATAGGCCCTAAATGGTTTGAACCAACCATTTTGACGCCCCCAGTTTTGACAGTCCAGCCCAGTTGGCAATGATTGGTGTAGATTCTGGCTTGTTTTGAGCTGGGGAGGCCAGCTGATGTATGGTTTTGCTTGGATGGTGTCCTTCGCCCTGAGTGAGCCCACAGAAGTTGGCAGATGCGTTGGGCAGGAAAGTTCAGAGCTTGAAGCTGGTCTCTGAAGCTGATAAAGGGTGATGCCTTGCACCTCAGGCGAGCGCTTCTTTGCAACATGTTCCTTTGCAATCTTTTAATTGAAATACAAACACGTAGCTTTTCATTGGTGGTTTGGATTTGGGTTTGAAGCCCTAGTTCTTGTTGAGGGGACATGGGAATGCACTCTGAGCTATTTGACAGCCTATGCCATCATCTTGCATCTACTTGTGGTTGCCAACAGATTCGTGGTAGGGATTGAAAGCTAGAATCCTTGCGAAGCTGATCAGGAAGGTAATTCTTTTCCACCATGCCAAATCTGTCTTTATAATCTGGACCAGCCTTTACACGGCTTCAGTTGGTTGTCAAAGACCTCTTCTTTAGACGGGCCCCGCATAAACCACGGCCCAGAAAGGGGCAACTACCAGCAGACATTTCTGAGGTTCCACCGACCAGGCTACGCTGATGCAGGCCTGCATGACCAAGGAGGCGAGGAGTCGAGAAATCGGGTCGAATGGTATGGTGTTGATTCTTCGAGGGGAAGAAAAACCATGGGATTCTTCAGGGGTTCCTTGAGAAGTACAGATTGGCTATATCCAAAACACCCCTGTATGAGGTTGTTTCAATTGGTTGCTGTTTCTGGGCTGTGTTTTCGGGGGTCCTATGAAGGATGTTCTCTAGGTCACTGTGAGTACTGCCCCCGAAGTTTTGTGGGGCTCTGCCTCCGACACCGCCTGTCCCAAGACTCTTTGCTGTCTATTGACTCATCGCTGCTTTTTGCATGCTACGCCATTTGGTGCCGCTGGAAGTGCTGAAGCGCTGTTGGACATGCTTCGTTTGCTACACGTTTTCCCAATCGACTCTGTTCATTCTCATCCCCCTGGCGAGTTATTCTCTTCACGGCATGGGGGCCAACATCTTTGGGCTTTCAGGTCACCCGCTTTTGCTTTGCCACGACCTGTCAAAACACCGAGCAAGCGCATGCCTTCAGGAATGTCTTTTGCCTTTCTCCCTGCCCTCAAAGTTTCCTGGGTGGGGTGATGTCTACAGACTGGACATGATGGGAGCTAGTTCTGTTGGCGCCCTACTCGCGACAGATTTGGGGTGATATTGCAGCTGCCGTCAAAGCCTTTTACATGCCTTCAAAGCTTTACAACGCACCACGAGAGTGGGCTTTGCACGGAATCTTAGGTTTCCTTACGCGGGAAGGTGACCAAATCAAGCCCCCTCCAGGTGAACATGGGTGTGTGTGTGTGTGTGTGTGTGTGCTTTTTTTTTTAAAGGGGACCCTCCAAAATGGCCAGGGTTTCCTTTGGGTTCCCTTGTTTGAGCCACCCACCAAACACGGAAAGCTACCAACTTCAAAATTGACAGACCCACATTTGGTCTGAAAAAAACACGTGTGGGTTCTTTTTCTTCCCTGAAACACCCGCCAAACAACCGGGGCTCTGTGGGTTTGGGGACTTGACATTTCGCGTTTGTTTCTTTCCTGGGATTTGCGAATTGGTCAGGTGGGGGACTACAACACCACGCACCTGGCCCTGACTTTGCCCACGGCCCCGGTGAAGAAATCCTGTGGGCCCTTTGAGAAGCCGGGCACCTGCGCTGAGGTGCGGTTGGAGGAGGGAGGGAGGGGGGGGAAACTCAGGTTTGGGGTTCTGACGGTTTACCGCTGTCCCCAGATTTGTGGAGTTGGGCTGACTTTTGGGAGGTGTTTTCGTTTTTGTTTTCTTTTGGGCAGGGGTGTGTGCTTTTTTACAAGGGGGGGGCATGACAGGATTTGGGTCTTCTTTTCTTTTTTTCCCCGAGCGCACGCCATGGGGTCGATCGGCCCATAAATGGGCTCGATCGGGGTGGCCAGCTTTCGGGGAGGCCCTTTGGGGGGTTCCAGAAGGTTCAGGGGGGGCTGTTGGGGATGGGATGCCAGCTTTATTATGATTATTATGATTATTATTATTATTATTATGATTATTTTTCATCACGGGGGCTGGGAGGGGGGCGGTTTAGGGTGACAAAACTGGAATAGGTTGCCGTTGGTTTGATTCTTTATGCTTTGTAATCCTGGGGGGGGTGACAAGACTGGAATAGGTTGCCGTTAGTTTAGGGGCGGGGAGGGGAAGCAAAAACTGAGATTTTTGGTTGGCTTGAACAGATCCTCAGGTGACGGCCACGGTGCCCGCGGCGTTGAGCATCGCCATCAGCGGCTTCGGAGGGTGGCCCCGTTAGGTTTTCCCGACTCAGCCACTTGGGCGCCCGGGTTTGGGCTGGGGTTTGGGGCTGGAAGTTTTGGGTCGGTTTGGGTTTGGGGTATGGTTCTTTATTGGGTTGGGCTGGGCTTCGGGGTGAAGTTTTGGGTCGTTTTGGGTTTGGCGTATGCTTTTTTTTGCTGGGTTTGGGCGGTGCAGAGGTGAACGGGGCCTGACAGCCCCGAACCGGGCCGCCCTTTGAGGTCTAGACGCGATTGAGTTGGTCGAGATGATAGTTAGGCACCAACTTCGCCGACTCTGCGGGAAAAATGGAGCGGCATCCTGGGTGGAGAGGGGTTTTCGGAGCGCGGCAGGAGAACAAAGGAACATGTCTTCTAGAACTGCAAGGCTTAATGTCGTCCAGGCACGGGCCAGTGAATCCGTTCGGTGGATTGAACCCTAGCACGAAAGCCGGCTGGCGGCAATGGATGGTGTCTTGAGCCTAACAAATCCGTTCGGTGGATTGAACCCTAGCACGAAAGCCGGCTGGCGGCAATGGATGGTGTCTTGAGCCTAACACTTTTCGTTGCCTTTGTGGCACAAAGATGTCACCTCATGAAAATGCCTCACCAACTTTTTAGAGGGGTAGGTGAGCCAAGGCAATAGTACTTGCAGTTGGTTCTATTGGGCAAGGCCCCCTATGTTGTGAGAAAGTAGGGGATATTGGGTAGGACCCCCATGTCTTCTCGCTGTCTCCCATGTGCTGCTTGCAATCTTGTCTGAGGATCATGTGGGCAATGCCCAAATCACGTGTTGACGGTAGTCCTGCTGCCTGTTTTCATTAGGCCTTGAGCCTTGTTATGGTGGTCAATTACTTTGTTGTGCATGTGCAGCCAGCCATTTTTCTGGGTCAAGGGTCCCATTCTCAATGGGCTGGTTTCGCTTAGTGGGTCAATTTGATGATTCGCAAAAGCTAAAGGATTTTCTACACGACAGCGGCCGAGGGGATGTACTCCAGAATGTCCTGTAGCTGGTTCCTTAGAAAGATGTCACCTAAATTCAAGGGCATTTTCAGGCCTGGGTTTTAAAAGCAGTATATACCGTTGCAATCGGTATAATCACTCTATACCTCAAGCCATACCTCAGAATGCCCTTGTGTATGGACCCTACTGAAAACAGGGATTTGCCGTAGAATTTCCTGTAGAACAATGTCATATAACCTTCCTAGCTCAACCTAGACCTGAACCTGCCCTCGAGTAATGGACCCCGCCAAAAACAGGGATTGCTGCACAAGTTCCTGTAAAAAAAGTCCCTTGAGTTCAAGGGCATTTCAGGCACGGGTTTTAAAAGCAGCATATACCCTTGTAAGTGCTATTAAACAACCTCCATAAGTCCTGTAGCTGGTCGCTTGGCAAGATGTCGTTTTGTTGGCTGCACATGGCCGTGGGTCAAAACCCTGTACCCCTGGTGAACTTCAAAATAGGTGACAAATGGATGTTCAGCCACCCCACAATGGAGCCATAGGTTATGCCCCATGGCCACATTTGTCCGACAGGACCACGACTCTCGTCGGTGTGAAGCTCAGGTTCCTTGCTCAGCCCGCGGCCGCCGCGACGCTCCTGGCGCCCTTCTTGGCAGCTCCAAACCCGCCGCCTCAGGCGAGGTCACTGGGAATTTGAAGCGAAGGAGACGTGGGTGCGGGTCTTCGGCAACTTAAGTGGTTAGCATCCTGGGGTATAACCTGTAAGTCAGGTTATACCCCACGTGACCAACCACTTGCCCTGTCAGGGAATGACAACGATCTTCCGGGGAGAAAACCATCTCGGGATGGTTTTCTCGGGGTCATTCCATTTCTCATTCCCTGAGAACCAGCACGAACAAGTCATAGAGGGGGTTGGCCAAGTTCCTGTTGTGCCGGTTCTTGGCCTTGTTCTGATGCGATGCGAATTGATGGGCTGGATGGCTCCGTGAGCAAGTTGACCAGAGGGACACGGAGTGTGGATGTTTTTTGTCACACATTCGCCACTCCTGGGATATGCACACTTGAAATGGGTTGGACTGTGGCAAGCATGTACTCCGGGGTGTGCGACTGGGTACCGCACACGTTTCGCTTCCACTGCGTCGGCTGGCGCTCGGAAAGGTTCTGAGGTCCAAATATCGGAAGGGCATCCCATTCGTCAGTTGGAGAAGTGCAGCTTCTGTGTTGAATCTTTGAGCATGGGTTTATGGACTGCAATCTGAAGGCGCTAAGTGGCAGGGGAGAGACGAAATTATACCTGCTGACAAGTTTCTTGCAATTCGTTTGCTTTGAATATTTGTATTTGGAGCCTTTGGTGCATTGGTGCCCACGCATCCTGACCTTGAGATGGACATTCGCATTGTATTCTGTTCTTAAAAAGTGACCCATGGGTATTCATAACATCATTTACGAGAATTACATTTCACATGATCCGTTCTACTTAACAACATCATATTCTCTGGTCCCCATCAAATTAGCCGCTTTTTTTTGGCCTCAGGGTGGTGGTTTGGGGGTAGTGGAAGTCATAGATTCAAGGCTTCGTGTTACAGGCTCCAGGGCCCCAACCGGCCAACTGGCCAGGTACGGCTCGCGTACTTGTCGGTCTTTTGCCCCGGCCTCATGCAGGACTGCTCGCTTTGGCTTGGGGTTGGCCGATGGCCGAGGTCCGAGCTACTCCAAGGTTGCACACACAACACACACACACGCACACACACGCCACTCCAAGGATAGACACTTGGATTCCTTGGGCTTCCCCAAACCGGAATTCCAAAATGGGTTGCCCGATCGGCAAGTGGAACATGGGTACCAAGACCTGCGGTTTGCCCCTCCGATCGTTTGAAATTTTGAGAGCCACAGCCACTTGGATTCCTTGGGCTTCCCTGATTGGATTCCTGGTTTGGATCCCTTGGGCCGATTCGATCGCCGCGATCAGAGTACGCAGGAGACGCCAGCGATGACCTCCGTGAATCTCTTCCCAGAGGCTGGGCAGAAGCTAGCGTACCTGACGAGGCATAAGGTATGATATAGCATCCAGAATTATATATATATATATACATATATATTTTACAGATATATCATCATCATATATATATATATATACGATACATGCACACCATATCGTACAACATTTTGCAGGATCCCCACTTCTATGGCCAGCCTTCCCCGGCCCTCCTTCGAGCTTTGAAAGGTACGTACCGTGCTGGAGGTCCAGGCCTGGCGATTCGGGCCGATCAAAATTCCGACCTTGGAACTTTTCCCGGAAGTGGCTGTGGTCACACAACTGGGCCACCCCAATTTGAGCGTGCCCGCTCGGTGGAACCGAGGACCAGAACCGGTCTGTATGGTGGTTTAGTGTTGCCCCGCAGCCTCGTGGGACATTTCAAGTCGTCTCCAAGTCGTCATTTCCACCTTTGATCAAGCCCCAGCTCGATTCGTGGGGATTTCGGGGCCGTTGGCCTTGGGAAGCACCGAGCCATCGGATTCGTAGCTTCGGGGAGCGGATGTGGCAGGCGGCTCATGGGAGGGTGGAGGGATACATGTGGGCCAGCTAAAATGGCAACCAAATGTCAGCTGATTTAGAGGATCTGCTTGCAAAGCAGGCATTTGGAGGAATCTTTATATTGCGTCCTGTCTTGAACTATTCAGATGTGATATGTTTTGATGGTTTGGGGATGGTATTCCGCATTGTTGCTCTTGCTCTGTTTTCATGCTGTTGCTGCGGATGCTTGCAGCCGCCGTTTGCCATTGCTCTTGTTTGTTGTAGGTTTTGTTGGTGTCGGGTTGTGGTTTCTGGTGAGGCTGTTGCTGCTGCTGTTGCTCTGCTGTTGCTGCTGCTGCTGCTGCTGCTGCTTGAGGACCCTGCGGATGCCGGTGTCACGCTCTCCTCACCGCGCCGCCCCAAAGGGGAACAGTGAC